CGCCTCCCTCCCTCTAGCCCGCCTGCCCGGGTCGCCGGCCCCCCGTTCCCCCAGCCCCCTCCGCCTTTCCCGCCGCCCGGGAGCTCGGCCCGCGGCTCTGGGCAGCCCGGGAGCCGAGCGTCTTGTTTGATGTCGCTCCCTCCGCCCTTTTCGCGTCCGGCAGGCCTGGCACACATTTCTCAGACACTTCATTCCTTCCTTCCTCTGAGCTCTCCGCTGAGATAATGTTGTAAATGATTTCACCAGATCTCGTCCCGAATGAGATTCAGCGGTTCCTGACTCTGAGTCACCTTGAGCAAGCCCCTCTTCTTCTTTCATTAAGCAGCGCAAATTCAGTACTAGACACTATGTTAAACCCTGGGATTATCATGAGAGATACAGGGGAAGCCTGCAAGGAGTTTACAGTCAACTGCCGAAGCAGACGGACCCTGATTTTCTGATTGATGACTGAGGTTTTTCTATATTTTTCCTTTTTCTTAGGACTTAGGGAAAGGCCTGACAAATCAAGAGGCCCTAAACAAAATGCAAAAACCACACCTGTATGGCCAACAGTATTGCTGGTCTACCTGGGGAATACAGGAATGAATTAGATAGTTATTGCCTCCAGGAAGCGCATAGCCTAGAGATACATATACAGCACTCATGGGTACAGCTGACATGTATGGATTTCTCAGTAGATTCCTCTGGGAGGTCCTAGGTTCAAGACAGACAATTACATGTGTAGACAGAGGTAAAATACTATGCAGGTTTAGGAGAATTCAGTTATTTATAAGTTGGAGTACCTTGGAAAATATCCTGGAGGAGGTGGCCTGTGCTTTGTATCTTGAAAAACAGGTAGGATTGGGGCAATGGAAATGTGCTGAATCATGGGGATGGAGAGGAGGAGAGTACCTATGGCGGTACAGTCCCAGACCCTGGAACCTGAGGTCTTTATTCAGGAAACATGGTCTGGAGCCCAGGGTGTTTGAAGGAATTGGAGGAGGTGGCTTTGAGGCCATGTCACAAGATCTGTAAACATCTTACTAAGGGACTTTGGACCTTAACTTTAAACACCAGAGAGCCAGAGAAAGGACATTGGGGTTCCCCTTTAGAAAGACGGCTCTGGTGAAGTGTAGAGGGTGAACTGCGGCGTTCTGAGGCAGAGAAGCCAGTTAGGTTCAAGCCAGTAAAGAAGTTTCTAAGTGACAGGTGTAGACTGACACTACCCTGGAAGCACCTGCCTAAATCCAGCTCACCTGGGCATTGACTGAGGCACTGTCCAGTGACCCAAGTTCAACAGAACCTGCCTACCCTTTAACACAGTGTTCCCTGTTCTGCTACCACCTGGAGCCTGCCTAAGGAATCATTGTGGCTCTGACCATATTTACCTTCTAAGCCTCATTTCCACCTTCCAGAAGAGCCCTCAAGTCTGTAGCCAAACCTTTACCTCATTGTAGGCTTGGTTTACTCACTCTTGCCCCTTGGGTTGCTCTCTGGGATTTTTTGTATTTTCTTAACACACTGCAGAGTGGGCTGTACCCTATGGTGTTCTGAAGAAATGATGAACAAAGCCTCCTTTGTTGACCTACAACCTGGCCAATGGGGTAAGACTTTTCTTTCTTATATTAAACAGATGGAAAAGTGGTGATGACAAAATTGTCTCTTGCCTTTGAAAAAACTGAGGTTTTCCTGTGTATTTGAAATCCTCTTGGTGAAAGGTGATGAGCCTATGAAGTCACTCTCCTTTCTGCCGTGCCCCGATAAGCTTTGCAAGCTTCTTCAAATGCTTCTACTCAGCGTCCGACTTTAAAAAAAACTGCAGAAATACACTGACCCAGATTCTTCCAAGGAACTATACTGTTCCCAGGGAAGCATGTTAACCCTTTCCAGGTCTCCCCCAAATCTTTCAGAGACAGCTCTTCCTCCACTAAGTTTTGCTCTGACAGTGACTGCTGTCTACTGTTGGGCCCTACTTAACTAGCCTGGTATGCCATCCCCTGTTCCTTCTAGTCTAAGAGAATTTTTCATCTGATTCTGTTGCCCCCTCAGGATTTGGCGCCCTGAAGGTGCATGGAGAAAGGCATATAGTCAGGTTAGGGTCTCACCACAGTGCCTAAAGCAACCTCATGAGTCAAATAGTCAATCAGCAACTGGTTTATTGTCACTTTAGCAGTGCTTAGATGGGTAGAAGGAGCAAGTAACTTAACACGCGCGCACACACACGCACTTATGCTCATGTTTTTAGATAGAGGGACAAAGGGCTCAAGTAATCAAAAATTAGCCATGAATTTGTGTCTGGGCAAAATATATATATATATATATATATCCAGCTCTCTAACTATTCAAGAACAAAGTTTCTTGCAAATATGCTCATAGATTATTTTTCAGTATCTTTATCCTGGGCAGTGAAAATAGACCAAGTTGGTACTCTCTCCACCCTTTATCAAATGGGGCAGTAAGCTCCTAAGCTCAGGAAAGGACTTGGATTTGGAAGGCTCCTCTTAGACAGAAACAGCCTCTATTTTTTCAGTCATCTCTCTACTCCTAAAGCA